TCCAGGATGCATACATATATATTTAAAAAAAAAAACCTTTTTAAATGTAAAGCCAGGCATGGTGGCATATGACTTTAATCCCAGTACTCAGGAGGCAGAGGCAAGAGGATCTCCGTGAGTTCAAGGCCAGCCTGGTCTACATAGTGAGTTCCCAGACAGCCATAGCTACACAGAGAGACCCACCACCAAATTAAAGATTTAAAGCATTGTATGTATACATACATAAATGCATGCACCCATACATACATGCATACATATATACACATATACATGCACGCCTAGGACTGAATCCAGGGAAATATCAGGCCAGCACTCTCTAAGTAGTTCTAGTCCTAGTTTTATTCCTTTTCTTAAAAAGTTTGATTTTTTTTTGTTTCTTTTGTTTTTGTTTTTAGCTTTTTCAAGACAGGGTTTCTCTGTGAAAAGTTTTTGTTTTTCTCTTTTTCAACATTTTTTCTGTAAGAAAGCATGACACTTTATATTTATATTTCTATTGTACTGAATTTGTATTTCAAAAGAGTTGTTTCAAGTGTCCAGAACTGTAGAGAAAACCATTCATCCACACAGTTCATCACTTATGGAGAATCAGCCCTGCATCGGGCTCTATAGTAGAGCCTGGGAAGGCAGCAGGCACGTGCTCCTGAAGACGTGGAGCCTGCGGGTTCCCCTACCTTAGGACAACAGCATCTGCCTCTCTCACTGCCCCATTCCTGTAATTTCATAGCATTGGAGAGAAATTATTCTGAGAATTTAATGTGGCAAATCAAATTCAAGCCCTCTTGTCACTTCTCCCAGTTCCCATGCTTCTGTTTCTGTAACTTTTTATCTCCCCTGAGTGGGTCTCAATTAATGCAGTGGTGTTCATGTTTCTGCATGTTTTTATACTACATATATATATGTATGTTACATATATATATATGTTACATATATTATATATACTCACATATATATTATATATGTGTAATACTCCTTATATACACATATTGCATGTTTTAAAATGTTTATAAACTATAGGTCACATGGAAGTATCCTCTTCTTTGTGTATTGCTTATACAATTATTTATTTTTATGTGTGTGATGTTTGGGCTGCATGTATGTCTGTGCACTATGTACATGCAGTGCCAATGGAGGCCAGAAGAGGCCCTTGGCCTTGAACTGGAGTTACAAATGCTTGTAAGCTGCCGTGTGGATATTGGGAATCGAACCTGGGTCCTCTACAAAACAACCAGTTCTCTGAACCACTAAGCTATCTCTCCAGCCCCTGTTTTACTATTTTTAGATGTGTTCCTGTTTAGATGTGATTCTAGTATATTCATTGGAATTGCTAAGGAGTGTTCTGTTGAACGACTACATCTTTCTTTAGTCACTTTCCTGTATTGGAAATATAGAGCAAGTTGTTTCTGGTGAACTTTTTTGGTTTTGTTTGGCTCTTTGTTTTATGGTTCTGGGGATTGAACTCAGGTCCTCTTGCACGACAGGCAAACACTAATGAACATTGCCACACATTTTCCCATGTATCCACGAAGCAGTTTCTGTACTACGACTGGGCACACTCACATTTATTTACCAGCTCTTGCAAGTTGTTCTCCACATGGGTTGTGCCAACCTCTAGCATCATATGTATTTCGAACATGGCTCATTATCAGCAGAATAACCATACTTTATAGTTGTAGATTTAATCTGTCGATTGCTGATGTTCATAGGACTTAAAGTCAATGTTACGAGTACCATGGCATGGACCGTCCGTCCTCATTGCCTGACTGGCTCTCATTTAGGGAGTAGCTCCTGGAGAGTCAGGCCCCACTTCCGTATCCTCACTGAGTCTTAGAACAGAGAAACTCTGGTCAAGGATGTGGGAAGAAGATAGCATTGGGCCCAGTCAGTCTCTAGTGAAGAAGCAGGAGGATCACGTATTAGCATGAATTAATGGAGTCACTCAGAGTTTAACCCATTTGCTGTTTGCTTCATACCCCTTATTTGACTACTGCTTACAAGTTGAACAACTAGCTAGAGGTCTCCGAGCATTGGAAAGACAGTTCTTTTTAGAGATTGTTTGAAGAGAATTGGCCATTGTTCTTCCATCAGACCGCAAACTGGATTAATTGGTGAAGCATTAACAATTGTGACGGTGCTTACTGCTCCTGGTATATGGTCGCCGTTGAGCAGCCGTGTGGCTTGATGTCCTCAAGCAGTGACTCCACCTGGAAAGCTGAGTCTAAATCTTGGCTTTTCTTCTACTGACTGAGAAGTGCCGGGCAAGCTACTCACCCTCCCCATGCGTCAGTCATAGTACTTGGGATTGAAATGCATGCACATCGGACCTGGAAAAGGCTTTAGAAAGCAGAGCCCATGTGGAATAATAGAAGTATTGAGGACAGTTTACTAGTGCCTTAGACACACACCCTCACCCACTTCTGAATGAGCTGTAAAATGAACAAGAGCTCATTCATACCTTCCCAGAGGGTTTGCCCTCTGAATCTTCCCAAGGCTAATTGTGGGATTTTAAGAGAGGAAGCCCAAGGACAGCTGTACACTGAGATTCCCAGCCGTCTCGATAATGGTTCATTCATTTTCTTCTCTGTGTCTTCACTGAGGGATCATGGTTTCCAAATTAGAGGGACTGTACTAAGAGCCCATTATTACATCATATAGGAATATATATATATATATATATATATAAATAAAATATACTGCTACACCTTTTCTGACTGAATTCTGAGGAAGGAAACTCTCATACCCCCCCACTCCCCCACTGTCTCCATGACTTGTTGGGAACCCAGCCAATATTGGTAAGATGAGTGGATAGATGAATTTAAACCTGGGCTTCTGAAGAATGGAGCAAGGAGAATCGGCTGAGATTATTAAGCACTAAAATGAGACTTAAAGCCAGGTGAGGTCCCCACATACTGTTAAGCTTAGTACTCTGAGGGCTGAGGTAGGTGAATTGTGAGTTCTTAGATAGCCTGGGCTACATGACAAGAACTTGTCTCAAAATAAAAAGAAAAGGGGTCACTGGAGAGATGGCCCAATGGTTAAGAGCAGAGGTTCCTCTTTCAGAGGACCTGGCTTCAGTTCTCAGCACCCACACGGTGGCTTACAACTGTCTGTAGCTTCAGTTCCCCGGGGCATCTAATGCCCTCTGCCAGGCTCTGCAGGCATCAAGCATACAAATGGAACATTTATGAAGGCAAAACACTCATACACATAAAAATAAATAAATATTTTAAAGAGAGAGAAAGGGAGGTAACTAAAAGTTTAACAGCAAGACAAAACCATCATAATAATAATTAATATTAATAATAATATTAATAATTATTATTTTAAAGAAACCCTTTTTAGAACCTTGGCTTTACCGTTACACTCCTGAGAATTTCTCAGCTTATTTCTGAAAGGCAAACATGAGTAGTTTGCACAACACATAGTTTCTTATAGAATCCATGTTTGTATTCTACTCCAGGGTCTGTAACCCTTTCAGATATTGGGAAGAATTATTTGAGGACAGCCCCGTGCACCTAGAATTGTTTGTCCCTTGAGGAGACTATATGCTGTGACTTTTATTATGCCCATTTGACATGGGGACACCAGGCACGGGAGTTTGTGACTTATGCAAGGTCTCACTGTCACAATAATTTAAAATCTAGATCTTGCTGAGCTTCAGAGGCCATACTGCCTCCTGAGGACAAGGACAATAAGATGAACAAGAGACAAATCTGAAGCCCAGGGCTCAGGCATTACAACCCATGCGCCATTAGCAAGCCTTCCTATACTACCACACATCGGCCAGAAAACTCCTGTTTAGTTTCCAGGCCTGGCAACATGCATTCTTGGTTAGCATATGTCCGTGATGTACACAGAGCTGGTTGAGACCCGGGTATGGTTCTTAACAATGTTATCATTCACACAGCAAAGGTGACTGACTGCATCCTGCCTGCAGTCCTCACATTTGACACAGAGGCAAAGAGCATGCTGGGATGGATCTCAGTCCTCCAGTCTAACCCAGCCCATGCTTCCACTTGGCATCTTCCTACCTCTCTGGAGTTGCCAGCGTCATTGCCCCTTGCCTAAATGATCATTTTTAGAAGAAGCATCGTGTTCAGTTCTGGTTCAGAAAAACCAACCAAGCTTTTGAAGTCAGAGACTCTGCATCCTAAGTGAATACCAGAGTGCCTGGCATGTGTGAGCTGTCACTTGTTGCAGTGGCCTGACCTGGAACCGTTTCCTTGTGTCTGGTCTCTTCCATGCCTTTCATCTAGATCCATCCTATCCAAACTAAAATCAGAACAGGTGGCCTGCCATCTTCTCTCAGGAGCCCACAGATAATTCTAATAGACAGGAGGGAGATAGGTCCCACCTTCATAGGGGTGAGCCTAATCGGCCTCAATGCTGTCACCTTTAATTTCTTTTATTAGTAGTGTTCATGACCTCGACGACGAACACACCAGAACGACAATGACTTTTTTACTGTCCTAAAAGCTTCCCCGTTCCCTCACTTCATGGCCGTTTGTGTTTCGCTCCACTATAGTGGATTCTTGTGATGTAACTATTTTCCTAGTGTCATGTGGGTTTGCAGACCTGCTGCATCATCAGATCCACACTAGCCCATTGTTAGACACCCCTTCCCCACCTTTAGTTACAAGGCAGATAAGGGGGTCTGTAGTTGTGCTGTTCGAAATGGTGGTTGCTAACCTCAGGGGGGCTATTTATATTTAAATTAAAATTCACTAAAATGTTTCATTTCTCAGCTGTCTCACTGTACTACAAAAGCCTACTGGCCACATGTGGATAGTGGCTGCCACTTTGGATGGCACAGTTTCAATATAGCATAAAGATCTGTGCACAACGGGACCAGGCAGCTTGTAGAGAGAGGGCTACTGTAGAATATCCAGCTCTGGAATACAGGTGGAACTCAGCTGTAGAGTGTTTGTCCAGCATGCTCAATGCTCCGAGTTCAGCCTCCAGCACTGCAAAACCAAAACCAAAGAAACCTGAGACAAAGTCAAGTCTAGTTTAAAGAAACCTGTAGATCTATGACAAAAAGGACATTGGAAATCATGCACCGAGTAGTACATGGATTTTGGTTTTGAAATGAAGTCACACACACACATACACACACACACACCTGACCCCTTTGTCCAGTCTCTGCTGCTCATCACCTACCCCCAGCAGTACCAGAATCTGTATCACCTTCATCTTGGGACCATGATGTTGAATGAGCAAATGAAATGGCGGGAAGAAAAGGAAGAAGTTGGTTTCTGTGAACTCTGTGCTAATTTTCCCCCATCTCTTTTCAGGTCCTGGAGGCCACACGGGTTAATCGAAGAAAGAGTGCTCTGGCCTTGCGCTGGGAGGCAGGGATTTATGCCAACCAGGAGGAGGAGGACAATGAATAAACTTCCTTCAGCCCAGGAAACTCCTTTGCTGTAGGAGTTTCTGAAAAGAAATCAAGAAATTATTGAATCAGAAGCATTTTAATAGACTACTTATTAAAGTGCATACAAACTCAACAACCCTCATGTAGACCAGAATCTGCAATACTCAATGAGAAAAAATAAAACAAAACAAAAAAGCAAAGTGATGTGAACAGGAAGTTCACCCATCAAACTCTGAGACCAGGGGCAGAGGAGAAAGGGTATCTTTGTGACTCAAAGAAACTCCTGGCTTTGGACCATTCCACAACTGATCCAAAGGGACACAGACATGACAAACGAGTCAACATAGTTGCTGCAGGCAGAACTGAAGCCAGCCTTGGCTGGATGTTGCGGAGGAGCAAACAGTGACGTGGCCATTCCAGGGCAACCAACAGGGCCCAGGCTGGTACAGCCTACAGCACACAGGCTATCCCCTCCACACCAGCTTCCTACCCCTTTCTCACTTGAGGCATCAGAAGTGTTGGGTTCACTCCATTTTCTCCAGCAGCCATAAAAATGAATGGTGTTTCTTTCCATGGTTGCCCCAAAATGGGACAATGAGGATTCAATCTCTTTTACATGTAATCATTTGAAATTGGGAATACCTAATGGTCATAATATGTAACGTCTGTATTTTTAAGGCAATATCTCTTCATGTTGCAGATGCGATCTATTCTATAGCAGAAGGTTGAGAATGGTGGGGGAGAGAGCCAAACCAAAAGGGTTATTAGCTTTAGAAACTTGTCTGCTTTTATCGTTGACTGATCAGTTTAGGGAAGCACACTTTCACGATTATGTTTCTTCATATGAAAAGTATATTTAGTGAGCAATGGCTATTTTTATGATGGGGTTGGGGGAACAGGAACACGGATAAAACCTGTACACATTTGAACAGCTTGGTTCAAGATGGTAGGGGTATTTTTAGAATGGCAATAATTGAAAATAAAAGGGGGGCAGACTCTGCCTTAGAAAGGTAGATGGTCAGAAATAAGGAGTTTATAACTATTTTCTATTTTAAAGTGGGCCTTAGAGGTGGTTGTGGTGTAGCATGAATTGTTTGGGATCTGAGAAAGGCAACCTTAAATTCATAGAGATAGAAAGAGAAAGGAGTGAGAGGGACAAAGAATGGGAAAGGAAGAGAGGGAAGGAGACTATTTTTGCTGAACAACCAGTGTTTTTCAGGATGACAAAGAGAAAAATATAGAAATTTAAGTGCAAACATGGAATCAGCTACAAATCCTAAAGACGGTGTGTATGCCTGCATATGCTTGTATAAAGCATGTGTGTTTGTGAGTAAAGGTATGCTAGTGGTGAGTGTATGTGTGTGTGTGTGTGTGTTGACCGTGACACATGGGTGTACAGTATTTCCTCCGTAGCTGTCTGTCAGCTTCAGGAGTGAGTGACAATTTTCTTTTTTATGAAAAGGGATATAAAGGCACAGGGCGGATGCAGTATTTCTAATATTGAGCTGACCTAACATGGTATTTGGATGAGTCACAGTTGTGAAGTTTTGAGCAGTTTTGTATTGATAATTTGACATTTAGAACACACCCTATTTATTCTCATGCTTTGTGTCCCTGCCTCATGTACCACAGAGGATGCCACTTCACTCTTTCAGTCATTTCAAGCAATATGATAAGGACGTTCACCAATCAGGTGCCCTGAGTCTCTGGATGAGAAAATGTTTCATTTCTGGCTGGGAAGGGGAGGCAGGAGGAGGGGAGAAGACATGGAAGGGGAAGGAGGAAGAAAAAGAAGAATTAACCAGCCTTCATTATTTTTCCTTTATTTTAAAGCTATTTCTTACAAACAATAATTAAATCTGACCTTGCTAAAATTCATTTTTGTTTTTATGTTATTATGTCATAAGATCTAATATGTTATTCTAATAAGTAGTGACTCTATAATGTTTATATATACACTCCACACATTATCTTTGTTTTTTTTTTATTAGACTAGTGTTGACTTTGGGGAAAGCTTATTCACTGATAATTAGTGGGCACAAGGTAAAAAGATGGAGTTGTCTCCTGGCTTATAAGGATGTTTAAAAGCTGCCAAGGGAATATGTAACTCCAAGGCAGATTCTGCGGTCACTAGCCAAAATCGTGTGTTAGAAGTGCGCACCGTCTTTAGACAGTTCGTTCTTTTAGACAGAATATTATTAAAAATGCTAGCCCCTGAGGACAGAAAGCAAAGGCAGAGAACCCTGTTGCAAGGCATTGGCTTTATGGTGAGGAAGGCAGGCCCAGAAGCAAATGTCCTGGAATGTGACATCCACGTCAGACTAGAAGTCCCACTAGGTAGATGGGCACATTGGAGAAGGGTCATCTTTGTCTAAGGATTTCCAGCTGGAGGCCCCAAATGCCTAGCCTGATTACACAGTGAGAGGAAATCAGTGAGAGGGATCAGGATGCATGGAGGGGTGGGGGAAGGGTAGCTCCAGTGTCCTGGAGCCTCCCCACCCCTGTAAACAGTGGCAGTTAGAACCGATGGAGAACAGGATAGTACTGTGAGCTACTCCATGTCTGCTGGTATCTGCTAGAGACTGGAAGCATCGCAGACCAGCTTGCTCATTTTTCACAAAGGAAAACAAACAGTCCTCATGACTTCCTTAAATTTCTTGTCCTGTTTAGAAGGGAAATGTGGACCCTTGTGGAGGTTACACTGAGGAAAGAATTGGCACCCAGAGCCTACACATTCCATGGAGTGCCTTCGGTGACAGATGAAGTGGTCTTTTGACGTTGAGGGATTAGACTCCATTAGTAGGTGAGGAGACACCCAGTCTCTTCCTGGTCACAAGGCTTTTATCACTGGCCTTTCCATTTCCAAGTTTTGCTGGTTTCTCTGAACTTCCCTCTAAAGACTGCCATCTGTTTCCTTGCTCTCCTCCCTAACAGTTCTAGCATATTCTATTAAGATGGAAATCACAGCTCCTTCAGAGAGCCAGCTTTTCTCTGTGTTCTTTGGGGACATTTTTTGATCAGGGAGTGGATTTTGTTTGTTTTTTTTTTCTCATTCAAGAAACATTTGAGCCATTGCTTTGGACATATCACTGTGCTAGGCTCTAGGATCCCACGTGGGCCCCTGTCACTTTCCCAGTATGGAACAGATCTCAGATCCCTGGAGGAAAGCCTTTCCTGCCCCATAAGCCTGAGATGAAGAGGCTCCTCATTAGTTTTGCCTCGGATGCTCGGCTCTACCCTGCATCAGCACACAAGCTTGTTAGTCTCCGCTGTAAGAAACGCTTAGCTTCCGTAGATGTTAAAAGCCCTTCCTGAAGGGATCCCACACCACGGTGTTCATACTCCAGAGCACTTTCCTCCAGAGCCTACGACTCGACAGCCTTGGCTTTCTCATCTAGAAATGAGGGATGCAGGGTCTGTCAGTGGCAGAGGCTGGGCAGCACTTACATGACAATGGTGCGTGTCCTTTCCTCTTCCCCATGCATGCTGCCCACCCTAGGCAATGGCATAGAAACAGTATATAGACCAGTGCACACACACACATACATACACACACACACACACACACACAAGGAACACCAAAACAGTGTTGATTGTTGTGTTTAAAGACATGTTTTTTTTTTTCACCTGAAGAATGGACTTAAACTATGTATTGAAAAAAAATAGCCTAATTGTTAGAGATGGTGAATGTATCCAGTTTCAGTTACAAAGACAATTTCCTGAAGTTTAAGCATTCAGTGAGCTGCCAATTTTGATTTTGTGTTGCTCTTTATCCAAATGGCTTTTGCTTTTCTTATTTTTTTTTTAATTGGAGGAAGTAGGGGCGGGCGGGAAGCAGCAATATTGTGTTTGAAAAATTATACTCTGTACCTGGCTTTCCTGTGTTATGTTAATCACTTCAGTGTTTTTATTCTGCTTTGGTTTTATAGTGTCTGTGAGGCATTCGGTGCAACTATACAGTTATTTTCTCATTAAAACTCAACGTGTGTGGTGTTTTTCTTTTTTCCCTTTTTTTTTCTTTCTTTTTTCTTGATTGAAGGATTGCTATTTGTTTTCCTGTGGAAGGAGGTTGGGAGATTGGTTGCCAAGCTCTGAGGGGCTTGCCAATGGCCTTGATCCCTGCCTCTGTCTCCCCATGTTCTGAACCCACTGAATCCAAAGAAGCAATAGTATCTGGTAAAATATCCCTGTAATGTTACATTCATTGTCCAGCTGCCCTACGTCAGGACCCACAGAAATGATGCAGGTGTCTGCTGGTGAAGTAGCTGAACTTTAAAAAGTAAAAGTGGCTATTGAGAAAAGAGAACAACCCCTCAAGCCATGCCTCAGGAATAGCCCGTAGCTCAAGTGACTGCACACTCCTGTGTATGTGAAGGCTGGAGGTCAGCTTCAGTTGTGAGGCAGGGTCACTCACTGGCTGGAACCGGTTAGTAGTTTAAGCTTCCCTGGTCCACCTCACTGTCACTGGGTTCATGAGTGTGTGCCACCATGTCACATTTTTTTTTTCTGTGGGTTCTGGGAATTGAACTCAAGTTCTTACATTTGCCCAACAAGAACTTAACCAACTGAGCAAACTCCCCTAGTGCTTGGCGCTAATCCTTATCCCATTCCCAGCTTGCATCTGTATTTGGCTCTCCTTTAGAAGGGACTGTGAACAGCAGGCTTGAGGAAACATAAGAGTTCTTCAGAAAGCCCACTTCTTGTTCCATATCCACCTGTCTTCCTTCCTGCCCGGCTGCTCCAGGCACTCCATCCCTTCATCCAGCCCCCGCACTCCCTGAACCCTACTCCCCAGTTTTCTGTGCCTCCCCAGCCCTGCCTCTTCCTTGTGCTTTACAGCTGCCTCTCTCTCTCCCTTCAGTCTTTTCGTCCTGAGATTTCCCACCAGATCCTTTTATTCTGAATATCTGGGGGTGGGGTGGGGTCCCCTGTGGTACTCAGTTATGGATAGCATCTCCCCAGCTTTATGTATCGAGAGTCCTGAGTTTGGTTGGGAAATTTGGCTGGGAATATGGCTGAGTAGCACAGTCCTTGCTTACTTACTATGAGTAAGTACCTGTTTCAATTCTCAGCACTGCAAAACAAACAACAAAACAAGTCCATGAAGGCTGGGCCTGGTGTCACAAGCCTATAATCCCAGGTCTCAGGAGACACAGGCAGGAGGATTGCCACACATTCAAGGAAGCCTAGTCAACAGGTTCCAAGCCAGATAAGGTTATATCCAACCTATTTCAAAAAAGCAACACCACCAAAATAACAAAAAACAAACAAAAAACAAACAAAAAAACCCTACAAGCTATGGGTGATAGCAGATACCTACATGGAGGCAGGAGGATCAGGAGTTCAAGGCCAGCCTTGGTTATCTAATAAGTGTGAGATCAATCTGGGCTACATGAAATCATGTCTCAAATCACAATATAAACAATATATATTTTTAAAACAGAAAATCTGGGGTGCTGACTTCTGACATGTGGTTCTAGGGAGCTTTAAATACTGCTTGGCGCTTTTGTGTATGGACCCAACATCTATGAGTTCACCATTTGAAAAGCAGCTTTGAGATGCCATCTGGATTCTTAAGTGAAGTGCCTCTAACCAAAGACAGCAGATTAAAAAGGAAAGAAAACAAAAAGGAAGATAATTGTAAACATATATGTTCAGATTTTAATTTCAGGACAAGGTAAAGGAATTTGTTCAAACATCAGAAGAAATTTTTATTGTGTGGAGTAGTAGCATTGTTAAGCTGGCTTAACATAATTCAACAGTGGGGGCTGGAGAGATGGCTCAGTGGTTAAGAGCACTGACTGTTCTTCCAAAGGTCTGAGTTCAATTCCCAGCAACCACATGGTGGTTCACTACCATCTATAAAAGGATCTGATGCCTTCTTCTGGCATTCAGTGGATCATTCATACATAAACACACAAAAATCTATATAAAAAAATCAACAGTGAGCTGAAGAGAGGGCTCAGTAGTTAGGAGTGCATACTGCTCTTACAGAAGACCTAAGTTCAGTTCCTAAAAGCAAAATCAGACAGTTTACAATTGCCTGTAACCTCAGCTCCAAGGTTTGCCTATTCTGGCCCGTGGGAGCACCTACACACATGTATATTCCCCCCCACACACACACGAAGATGTACATGTACATGTATGTGTAATTTTCAAACTAAAAGTTTTTTAAATAAAAAATAAAAATTATTTTTCTTCCAACAGAGTTTTGATGCCCAGTACATGTGTAACATTTAGGTCTTCATGTGGGACTCCTAACAGCCAAGTACTTGAACCAAATTCTGACCCTACTTCTTTAATATCTTGTCTTTTAAAATAGTCAGATGAAGACTATTTCATTTTTTGGCATCACTGTGAATTTGGCGTCTCAGGAAGAGACCCCAGTCATTGTACGTAGTCCGGCAGGCAGACCACTGACAATAACAACCTGGGGAAATAATAATATTGTACCCGAGAGTCACGGGACTGAAAGACGTCCCTGGGCAATTAAAATCAAATGTGCAAGCCTGATTTAGTGTGCAGGCCTGTGTCTCCAGCTACTTGGGAGGCTGAGGCAGGAGGATCACAGATTCAAGGCCAGCTTGACCAACTTAGTGAGACCCTGTCTCAAAAAGCAATCAGAGGGCTAGGGACATATCTCAGTGGTACACTGCTGGTGGGGCACAGAAGCCTCTTAACCCAGTGGTTCTCAACCTGTGAGTCAGGACCCCTTTGTGAGTCGAACAGCTCTTTCATGGGGTCACCTAAAATCATGGGAAAACAGACATTTACATCATGATTCGTGACAGTAGCGAAATTACAGTTACTAAATAGCAATGGAAATACATTTTTATTTTTTAATTACTTAATTGATTGATTTACTTTACATCCTGACCACAGTTTCCTCTCCCTCCTCCCAGTCCTTCCTCCCCACCTACTCCTCCTCCATCACACCTTTTCCCTCTCCAGAAAAGGGGAGGCCTCCCATGGATATCAACCAGCCTTGGCATATCAAGTTGCAGTAAGAATCAATAGAGTCCTCCTATTGAGGCTATAAAGAGGCATCCCAGTTAGGGAAGAGGGTCCCAAAGGCAGGCAACAGAGTCAGATACAGCCTCCTGCTGTTAGGAGTCCCACATGAAGAAGACCAAACTACACAATGATAAGATATGTGTTGAGGGCCTAGCTCAGTCCCATGCATGCTCTCTGGTTGGCAGTTCAGTTTCTGTGCCCTCCCCGAGTAAGCCCAGGTTAGTTGGTTTTGTAGGGTTTTATTTGTAGTGTCCTTGACCCCCCCCCCCAGCTCCTATAATCCTTCTTCCCCATCTTCTGCAGGATTCCCTAGGCTCTACCCAAAGTTAAGCTGTGGGTCTCTGTCTCTTTTTCCATCAGTTGCTGGGTGAAGTCTCTCCGATGGTGCTTATGCTAAACTCCTGGCAGATTATCATTAACAGAGTCAGGGGTGGACTCCCTCTCATGGCATGGGTCTCAAGCTGGACCAGTCATTGGTTGATCAATCCTTAATTTCTGTCCTGTTTTTATGCCTGCACATCTTGTAGGCAGTGCAAATTGTGGGTCTAAGACTTTGTGGCCAGGTTAGTGTCCCAATTCCTCCGTTGGAAGTCTTGCCTAGTTATAGGAGATGGTCTGTTTGGGCTTCATATCTCCCATTGCTAGGAATCGTAGCTAACTAGGGTCACCCTCATAGATTCCTGGGAGTTTCCAATGCTCCAGGTTTCTAGCTTGTCCCAGAGATGACCCCACATTCCATTTGTCTCTCCAGTATTCTCTCCCTCCCTTCTCTCCCCACCCAATCCCTCCTGTTCCTACCTCCTTCTCCTCCCCCAGACAGTCCCCTCATCCCCATCCACCCATGATATCTATACTATTTCCCCTTCTCAGTGAGATTCAAGTATTCCCCCCCCCCAGCTTCTACAATCCACAGACCCAGTGAAAATAATTTTATGATTGGGGGTCACCACAACATGAGGAACTGTATGTATCAAAGGGTCGCACCAGTAGGAAGGTTGAGAACAAGTGGCTTAAGTGATAATGGAAAGGGTGGAATTCTGTTGGCTTGTGGTTAATGTTAGAGGCTCATCTTTGCCTGCAAGTGGCCACACGGTGGCAGTGGTGCTAAAGTAAAGGCAGTCCCTAGCCAAGAGCCTTCCCTAGGGGTTCTGAAACCTTCAGAATAGACAGGAATTCTCCAAAAACCTCAATGAAAAAAACCACTCTCAACCCTGTGTGGTTACTCAATAATTCCAGTACTTGAGTGGCAGAAACAGGAGGGTGTCCTGCAAGTTCAAACCCAGCCTGGCCTATTTAGTGAGTTTCAGGGTAGCCTGGGCTACATAGACACTGTCTCAAAACAAGGAGTTGAAAAGATGGCTCAGTAGTTATTAAGCTCTTACTAAGTTATTAAGTAGTTTAAGAGTTCTTATTCCTCTTAAAGAGGCTTAAAGACTGATATTCTTTAGTCCAAAATATGGAAAGGGAGCCCCAAGTTACTAAATCAGTTGTAAAAATGGTATACCTTCTCCACAACTAATGAGGATTTTTCTTCTGTCTTTGTCAAAGTGCCAGGGACACTATTACCATACGTTTTGCTTAAAGTGACTTAAAATCTAGCAGACTTGACCAGTCTATACTGATCACACATTGAAGATAGCATAGACTACATTCCAGACACTGTAGTCTCTGAAGCCTTGAACTTTCAGTCTTCTTGCCTCAGTCTCTGAACTGCCAGAGTAATAAACCTGTACCACCATGGCCAGCAATAGTGGTTCTTACCTTGAGGTTGTCTCAGAGCGACTTAGAAGGCTCGCTTAGACAGACAGCTGGGACTCAACTCTCAGAGCTTTTGGATTCTGTAGGTATGGATAAAACGCAGAAAATTCCATTCCCAGGTAATGCTGATGTACCTGGGCTACAGAACACAACTTAGAGGGACCAAGTAAGCTATACTCCAGGACACTTGATGGAGATCTGTTGGCAACTCCACTCCAAGCCA